TTTCGCCCTTCTAGACTGCCCAACAATTCCATGGTTACATTCTATGAGTAGTCGTTTATTTAATGCTTAGACCATAGGTCTTTCACATACAGGACAAACAAATAAATACATTAAAAACATAATTAAATGCACTGCAAAATACACCATTAAAATATTATGTAAACCATTAAAATGCTACACAAATCAACAGTGAGATGCACCCTTAAAATACTACATGAAATACTATACGAACGACCGTAGCTCTTGAATAGTTAAAAAACCAAGTAAAATACAGTATGATTAAAACTTAAGCAAGAAACACTTTGAATATAGACAACCACACTATGATTAAGTAAAACCATCCCCAGAACAGGAATGTTTTTACCTTCAAAGCCTGGCAGGAAGCAGCCAGGCTTTAAAGCTGCAAGACCATTCAATGCTAATCAAGGTGGTCGATTGCAACATTCACACTTGCCTCAAGCAGACAAGAGTTCTTTCTCCCACCTTGGACATTATTCCACAGATATATAAACCCCACTTGCTTAGTTTCCAACAGACCGCCCAACCTCTGAGGATGCCTGCCATAGATGTGGGCGAAACGTCAGGAGAAAATGCTCCTGGAACGTGGCCATACAGCCCGGAAGACTCACAGCAATCCCCAGAACAGTCGACTGCAATATACATTCCATGAAATCCTAAAATGCTTTTACCTTCAAAGCCTGGCAGGAATCAGCCAGGCTGTGAAGCTGCAAGACCATTCAGTGCTAATCAAGGTGGTCGGTTGCAATATTCACACTTGCCTCAAGCAGACAAGAGTTCTTTCTCCCACCTTGGACATTATTCCACAGATGCATAAACCCTATTTTCCTAGTTTCCAACAGACCTCACAACCTCTGAGAATGCCTGTCATAGATGTGGGCAAAATGTCAGGAGAGAATGCTTCTGGAACACAGCCATACAGCCCGGAAGACTCATAGCAATCCCCAGAACAGTTGACTGCAATATACATTCCATGAAATCCTAAGATGCTTTTACCTTCAAAGCCTGGCAGGAAGCAGCCAGGCTTTGAAGCTGCAARACCATTCAATRCTAATCAARRTRGCCGAYTGCAACATTCACACTTGCCYCAAGCAGACAAGAGTTCTTTCTCCCACCTTRGACATTATTCCACAGATATATAAACCCCACTTGCCTAGTTTCCAACAGACCTCCCAACCTCTGAGAATGCCTGCCATAGATGTGGGCAAAATGTCAGGAGAGAATGCTTCTGGAACACAGCCATACAGCCCGGAAGACTAACAGCAATTCCCAGAACAGTCAATTGCAATATACATTCCATGAAATCTGTGATGTGTAGCTTGGTGTGGTAGAGGATTCTAAATGCCCGTAACTAGCCTACAAATCCCAAAATGCCATAGGATGGAACCATGGCAGTGAAATTGAGATTATAATGCTATAAGTGTGAAATAGTTCCTATTACAAAGAACATTAACACGTGTACTTTGGAAGGAGGGCATTAGTTGGAGACAAATTCCTTGTGTAGATGGTGACAATATACACCGTGACCAGTGGAAATGTTTAAGAGGAAGCAAATAAAGCTATAGATGCATCCACATTGTAGAATTAATGCAGTTTGACGCCACTTTAACTACCATGATTCGTTACTATGGGAATATAAGAGTGTCGCAAGCCTTATCTATCAAAGAGTGCTGGTGCCTGACCAAACTACAAATCCCAGGACTCCTTAGCATTGAGCTATGGCAGTTATAGTGGTATCAAACTGTATTGATTTTACAGTGTAGATGCATTCATTGTCACATCTTGATGTATAGTCGAGCATTGAAGCACCCACAGACGAAACAGGAAAGGATGGAGAACAACATGGAATAATAATAATAATAATAACAACAACAACAACAACAGCACCAACAGTACTAATAACAACATTATTCCATGGTTGTAGAATATTATTCTGGTGGCATCTCTATTTCTGGAGATTTTAAAGCAGGAGCTGGATGGTCATCTGTTGGGAGGGCTTTGGTTGTATCTTCCTGCATAACTCACAGCAACCCAATGATTCCAGTCATGAAAGCCTTCAACAATAAATATAATAATGGCAATAATAACACTGTTCCAGGATTCTATAAAAACCATAGGAAAACTTAGTTGTACTTAATGGTGTAAGTTACTTTGGGTCTCAACTAAGGGATGAAAGTATAATAATCCTAATAATAATATTATTATCACTACTACTAATAATAATACTGTCTCAAGATTCTTAAAAAAACATAGGGAATCCTAGCTATATTTGTTTTAATGCTGTGAATTGCTTTGGGTCTCAATTATGAGATGAAAGCATACTAATACTAATACTAATACTAATACTAATACTAATACTAATATTATTGCTGCTGCTGCTACTACTACTACAGATAATAATAATTTGTGTGTGTGTGTGTTAGGAGCAACCTGAGAAACTGCAAATCACTTCTGGTGTGAGAGAATTGGCTGTCTGCAAGGACGTTGCCCAGGGGACGCCCAGATGTTTGACCATCCTGTGGGAGGCTTCTCTCATGTACCTGCATGGGAAGCTGGAGCTTACAGACAGGAGCTCACCCTACTCCTCGGATCTGACCTGCCACCACTGACCTTTCGGTCAGCAGTCCGACCAGCACAAGGGTTTATCCATTGCATCACCAAGGGCTCCAATAATAATAATAATAATAATAATAATAATAATAATAATATCCCAGGATTCTTAAAAAAAAACATAGGAAATTCTAGGTGTACCTGTATTGGATGCTGTGAATTGCTTTGAATCTCAGTTAAGAGATGAAGGCACACTACTACTACTAATGATAAAACTAATAATAATAATACTAACAACAATAATAGTGTTCCAGGATTCTAGAAAAACCATAGCAAATCCTAGCTGTACCTGTTTTAAATGCTGTGAATTGCTTTGAGTCTCAGTTAAGAGATGGAAGCATGCTACTAGTACTACTAATGATAATACTACTACTAATAATAATACTAGCAATAATAATACTGTCCCAGGATTCTAGAAAAACCATAGCAAATTCTAACTGTACCTGTTTTGAATGTTGTGAGTTGTTTTGAGTCTCAGTTAAGTGAGGAAAGCATGCTACTAGTACTACTAATGATACTACTACTAATAATAATAATACTAACAATAATAATACCATTTCAGGATTCTAGAAAAAAACCATAGCAAATCCTAGCTGCATCTGTTTTAAATGCTGTGAGATGCTTTGAGTCTCAGTTAAGAGATGAAAGCATACTACTACTACTAATACTACTAATGATTGCTGCTACTACTAACGATAATACTATCAATAATAATACCTCCCCAGGATTCTAGAAAAAAACCATAGCAAATCCTAGCTACACCTGTTTTCAATGCTGTGAGTTGCTTTGAGTCTCAGTGAAGAGATGAAAGCATACTATTAGTAATAGTAAAGATAATAATAATAATAATAATAATAATAATAATAATAATAATAATGCTAACAATAATTATCCCATCACAAGATTCTAGAAAAACCATAGCAAATCCTAGCTGTACCTATTTTGAATGCTGTGAGTTGCTTTGAGTCTCAATTAAGAGATGAAAGCATACTACTACTACCACTAATGATAATACTAATAATAATACTAGCAATACTAATACCGTCCTGGAAGTCTAGAAAAACCATAGCAAATCCTAGCTGTACCTGTTTTGAATGCTGTGAGTTGCTTTGAGTCTCAGTTAAGAGATGAAAGTATACTACTACTACCACTAATGATAATACTAATAATAATAACAATATTAATAATAATAATACTTACAATAATAGTACCTTCCCAGGATTCTAGAAAAACCATAGCAAATCCTAGCTATGCCCGTTTTTAATACTGTGAGTTGCTTTGAGTCTCAGTTAAGAAATGAAAGCATATTACTACTACTACTAACGATAATACTACTAATAATAATAATCATACTAACAACAATAATATTGTCCCTGGATTCTAGAAAAACCATAGCAAATCCTAGCTGTACCCATTTCAATGCTCTGAGTTGCTTTGAGTCTCAGTTAAGAGATGAAAGCATACTACTACTAGTAGTAGTAATGATACACTAATAATAATAATCATACTAACAATAATAATTCCGTCCCAGGATTCTAGAAAAACCATAGCAAATCTTACTTGTACCTGTTTTGAATGCTGCGAGTTGCTTTGAATCTCGGTTAAGAGATTAAAGCAATAATAATAATAATAAGTAGTAGTAGTAGTAGTAGTAGTATTAATAATAGTAATAATAATATTGTGCCAGGATTCTAAACAAAAATATAGGGAATCCTAGCTGTTCCTAGCCATTTTCAATACTGTGAGTTGCTTTGGGTGTCGATTAAGAAGGAAAGTGGGGTATACATATATAATAGTTCTTGTTGTGGTTATTAGTACTATTATTAATAATACTCAACATCTATTTTTAATAGAGTTGGTTCTTTAATAGTGTCCCTGGTCGCTAAGGGGTTAATCCTGCCTCTCCGCATTTTCCAAAGTGGGTTTGGATGCAAGAGGATCCTTTCCAATGCCCCCTTTTCCCTTCTCAGGATGCCCACCTGGCATGATAGATGTTTAGGGGTGGGAAAAAATAACCAGTGCCATGCCCAGATGCCACCTTGCCTGCGTGTCTAAACGGAGTCTCTCCGCTGGAGTGATCCGGATCAAGTGCACCATAGAAAGGGGGTAATTGGAAGAGGGAGGGAGGGGGATACAAATGGGATGAGGAGCAATAAGAGGCAAGGAAAGCCATCAAAATGCCAAGCACACACAACCCACATGCCCACTTGGTTGTACCCCCCAAACAGAGGCAGTGGTCGGGTCTGAAGCTCCCGACTTCTCTCGATTCGGAGCAAACCATGCCAAGAAGAGGGGGGGAAAGCACCAAGGAAGGGTCGGACCCACTCCTGTTGCCCACCACCCCTTTAAGGATGCCATGCCAAGCGCCTTACCTTCTTCCAGGGGGTGAGAAAAGAAATAAATAAACCCAGATTGGGAAGCTCAGCCTTTTGCTCAAGCTCGCTCCATGGCACCCGAAGCGGTCCTCTTTCTGGTCGGCAGCGAGGGATGGAGACTAGTCCAGGGAGGGGTCCAAAAGAGGGGAGACCAAGCCTCTCGGGGAAGCGGACCCGAAGGGAAGCAGCGAAGGAGAGAAGGAAGGAAAGGGGGACTCAGCTTCCCTGGCAGAGTGCGCCTCTGGTGTGTGGAAGGGAGGGAAGAGGGAAAGGAGGGGAGGGAGAGGAAGGGTGGCGTTTGGGGGGGAAAGAGGAGGAGGCTGTGGGGCAGGGGAGCCCACGGAGGGGGCAAAGAGGGCAGCCCACCAAGTGAGGCCAAGAGAGGCTCCCTATTGGTTGGAAGTGAGGATGCCCAGGAAGATGGGCTGCCCCTTTTCCCTCTCCCTTTGGATGCTGGAAGAGAAAGGTTTAAGGCTAAAGGTGGCTTTATTGAGGGCTTCCTTTTATCCACCATTTGTGGTTGCAGAGCTTGGAATGACTGACTTCCATAGGAAGGTTTTTCCCTCTTCCCTAGGATAAAAGCCCTGACCAAGGTTGCCCACCCATGGGTTAACCAACCATGGATGCAGTGGCAGGTGGCTACAGACTTTTAGAGCTATTTCAGCACCACACGTCTATGGACAGCTCCTGTGCTCTGGGCATTGGGCAACGCTACTAAAAGTCCATAGGCTTTTGGAGTTATTTCAGCACCCAAAGTCTATGGACAGCTCCTTTGTGCTAGACATTGGACATTGCTACTAAAAGTCCATAGACATTTATTTATTTATTTATCTATATAAATAAAAATGTAATGTTCGTTTGTGGGATTAGCATAACTCAAAAACCACTGGGCAAATTGACACCAAATTTGGACACAATACACCTATCAGGCCAACAAGTGACCATCACTCATGGAAAACACAGCAGAAGAGCCTTTAAAAGCCAAAAAACAAAAAATACATTACAATGCATGCGCAAAACCACATATATATACACAAACACACATATATATACAGAAATACACACACATATACACAGACTGTGGTGAAAAAAGAAACATATTTCAGTATTGATAGAAATGCATCCCAGCTGAACTGTTTAAAATCTTAAAAGATGATGCTGTCAAGGTGATGCATGCCATTTGCCAGCAAATATGGAAAACACAAGAATGGCCATCAGACTGGAAAAAATCAACTTATATCCCCATACCAAAAAAGGGGAAATGCGAAAGACTGCTCAAACTTCCGTACAGTGGCCCTTATTTCTCATGCCAGTAAGGTAATGCTCAAGATCCTGCAAGGAAGACTCCAGCAATACATGGAGTGAGAGTTGCCAGATGTTCAAGCTGGGTTTAGAAAAGGCAGAGGAACGAGAGACCAGATTGCCAATATCCGCTGGATAATGGAGAAAGGCAGGGAGTTTCAGAAAAACATCTATTTCTGCTTCATTGACTACTCTAAAGCCTTTGACTGTGTGGATCATAATAAATTGTGGCAAGTTCTTGGTGGGATGGGCATACCAAGCCACCTTGTCTCTCTCCTGAGGAATCTGTACAAGGACCAAGTAGCAACAGTAATAACTGACCACGGAACAACAGACTGGTTCAAGATTGGGAAAGGCGTACGGCAAGGCTGCATACTCTCACCCAACCTTTTTAACTTGTATGCAGAACACATCATGCGATGTGCGGGGCTTGATGAATGCAAAGCTGGGGTGAAAATTGCTGGAAGAAACATTAACAACCTCAGATATGCAGATGACACCACTCTGATGGCCGAAAGCGAGGAGGAGCTGAGGAGCCTTCTAATCAAGGTGAAGAAGAAAGCGCAAAAGCCGGGTTGCAGCTAAACATCAAAAAAACCAAGATTATGGCAACAAGAATGACTGACAACTGGAAAATAGAAGGAGAAAATGTGGAGGCTGTGACAGACTTTGTATTTCTAGGCGCAAAGATGACTGCAGATGCAGGCTGTGGCCAGGAAATCAGAAGATGCTTACTTCTTGGGAGGAGAGCAATGTCCAATCTCGATAAAATAGTAAAGAGTAGAGACATCAGACTGGCAACAAAGATCCGCCTAGTCAAAGCCATGGTATTCCCTGTAGTAACCTACGGATGTGAGAGCTGGACCTTAGGGAAGGCTGAGCGAAGGAAGATAGATGCTTTTGAACTGTGGTGTTGGAGGAAAGTCCTGAGAGTGCCTTGGACTGCGAGAAGATCCAACCAGTCCATCCTCCAGGAAATAAAGCCCGACTGCTCATTGGAGGGAAGGATACTAGAGACAAAGTTGAAGTACTTTGGCCACATCATGAGGAGACAGCAAAGCCTAGAGAAGACAATTATGCTGGGGAAAGTGGAAGGCAAAAGGAAGAGGGGCCGACCAAGGGCAAGATGGATGTGCATCCTTGAAGTTACTGGACTGACCTTGAAGGAGCTGGGGGTGGTGACGGCCGACAGGGAGCTCTGGCGTGGGCTGGTCCATGAGGTCACGAAGAGTCGGAGGGGACTGAACGAATGAACAACAACAACTGTCCCTCTCAGCCCACAGGCGACTCGGGGCGGTTTACAGTTGGTATCAAGACTATAAAATCCAACGAAAAACATTAAAATAATACAAAACCATAGTAAAGCCAATAATATATATATATATCATTAGGGTCTCCTTATTAAAAACCAATCACATCGTCCAGTCATTCCATTTCATATGTCTGTTACACTGTATTTGCAAACACTTGCTCAAAAAGCCAAGTCTTGACTTTTTTTCCGGAAATTTTAAAAGGTAGGGGGCCAATCCAATATCCCTAGGGAGGGCATTTCATAGCCGCGGGGCCACCACTGAGAAGGCCCTTTCTCTCGTCCCTGCCAGCCATGCTTGTGACAAGGGTGGGATCGAGAGCAGGGCCTCCCCAAGTGATCTTAAAGTCCTGAAAGGTTAATAAGGAAGCTCTTTCAGCACCAAACATCTATGGACAGCTCCTGTGCTCTGGACATTGGACAGTGCTACTAAAACTGCATAGGCTTTTGGAGCTATTCCAGCACCAAACGTCTATAGACAGCTCCTGTGCTGTGGACATTGGACAACGCTACTACTAAACATCCATAGACAAGACTATTGGTCAGTCAAAAGGCCGAACAGGGCATAGGGGTACAGCCTGTGTTGGATGGGGTTACACTCCCCCTGAAGACGCAGGTTCGCAGCTTGGGAGTGATCCTGGATTCATCGCTGAGCCTGGAACCCCAGGTCTCAGTGGTGGCCAGGAGAGCTTTTGCACAATTAAAACTTGTGCGCCAGCTGCACCCGTACCTTGGGAAGTCTGACCTAGCCATGGTGGTCCATGCTCTCATTACATCCTGAATAGATTACTGCAACGCACTCTACGTGGGGCTGCCTTTGAAGACTGCTCAGGAACTTCAACTAGTCCAATGGGTGGCAGCCAGATTACTTACTGGAGTGACATACAGGGAGCATACCACCCCCCTGTTATGTCAGCTCCACTGACTGCCTATCCAGTTCCGAGCACAATTCAAAGTGCTGGTCTTGACCTATAAAGCCCTATACAGTTCTGGCCCAATTTACTTGTCTGAACGTATCTCCCCTACATCCCATCCTGAAACTTCCGATCTTCCAGGGAGGCTCTGCTCTTGATCCCACCTTCGACGAGTGACAGGGCCTTCTTAGAGGTGGCCCCCTGCTTATGGAACTCATTCCCCAGTGAGATTAGGTCAACGGCTTCCCTCCTTTCCTTCAGGAAAAAGGTGAAGATATGGCTATGGGACAAGGCATTCGGATAGCAGGCTGACAATAAAAATAATGACAAAGCTATGGACAGGCTTCGGATTAAGTTGCTGATCGTAGAACTCGGACTTGACATGCCAGCTAATTTACTTTGCACTATTTTGATTGGTTTTTAATCTAATTTTTAATGTTTTAGTTATTATGTAAATGTTGTTTTTATCGGTTATGTATGCGAGGCATCAAATTGTTGCTGACTGTAAGCCACCCTGAGTCCCCCTTCGGGTGTAGAGAAGGGTGGGGTACAAATATTTGAAATAAATAAACAAATAAATAAAATAGACTTTGGGAGCTATTTCAGCACCAAACGTCTATGGAGAGCTCCTGTGCTCTGGACATTGTGCAACGCTACTAAAAGTCCATAGACTTTTGGAACTATTTCAGCACCAAGCATCTATGGACAGCTCCTGTGCCCTGGACATTGGGCAACGCTACTAAACAGCACTAGACGTCTTTGGACAACGCTACTAAACCTCAATAGACTTTTGGAGCTATTTCAGCACCAAACATCTATTGGCAGCTCCTATGTTCTGGACATTTGTAGTTTGGTGAGCCAACTCACTCATTGGCAGAGAAGGCTTTGCAAATCACTACCATTGAGCCAAAGCTGTTGAAATGTTGTCAAACTCAGTTAATTCAACATCTTAGATCAAGCATGGGCAAACTTGGGCCCTTCAGGTGTTTTGGACTTCAACACTCACCATTCCTAACAGCCGGTAGGCTGTTAGGAATGGTGGGTGTTGAAGTCCAAAACACCTGAGGGCTCAAGTTTGCCTATGCCTGCCTTAGATGCACTTTGCTGTGAGTTTAGTGAGTTTACAAAGAAGGCTTTGTAAAACTACAATTCCTAGGAATCCCTAGGATAAAAGCCCTGACCAAGGTTGCCCACCCATGTTAACCAGCCATGGGTGCAGAGGCAGATGGGAACGTTTTCAGCACCAAACGTCTATGGACAGCTCCTGTGCTCTGGACACTGGGCAACTCTATTAAAAGTTGGCATGGGGTGCATCTCCATTGTAGAATGAATTCTGTTTGACACCACTTTGACTACCCTGTCCCAATACTATGGGTTTGTAGTTTGTGAGCCACCTCACCCATTGGCAGAGAAGGCTTTGTAAAACTCCAATTCCCAGCAATCTCTAGGATAAAAGCCCTGACCAAGGTTGTCCAGCCATGTTAACCAGCCATGGTTAACATGCAGAGGCAGATGGGAGCTATTTCAGCACCAAAAGCCTGTGAACAGCTCCTGTGCTCTGGATATTGGACAACGCTACTAGAAGTTGGCATGGGGTGCATCTCCACTGTGGAATGAATTCGGTTTGACCCCACTTCGACTGGCCTGGCCCAATGCTATGGTTTTGTAGTTTGGAGAGCCACCTCACCCTTTGGCAGAGAAGGCTTTGTAAAACTACAACTCCCAGAAATCCTAGGCTTTATTTTATCCACCATCTATGCCAAGCATTGGTGGCTGCAGAGCTTGGAATGACTTACTCCCATAGGAAGGTTTTTCCTTCTTCTTTGGGGTCTTTGGGAACAGGGTTTGGGGTTCAATGGTGGGGTATAGGAATCTCTGCTTGGATTCAAAGATCAGATGGGA